GCATGCATTTTTTCAAACTGTGTACTACACACAGCAACAGTCCTGAATCAGAATGGATTTGTTCTTATTTAACTATTAATTAATTAGTTAATTATTAATTTATTTATTTGTTCGTTTATTTATTTATTTATTTATTTATTTATTTATTTATTTATTTATTTATTTATTTATTTATTCACTTATTTATTTATTTATTTATTATTTATTTATTTATTTATTTATTTATTTATTTATTTATTTATTTATTTATTTATTACAAGGCGAGCAGCTCAGCAGGAAAAGCGGCGCCGCGCTTGAGTTAGATGAAAGAAAATCAAAAGGCTCATTTGGATTAATTGAAAGGAAAATTAAGATAAATAAATAAATAAATAAATAATTTATTTATTTATGTATTTATTTAGATCATTTAAAGTCCCCCTGGCACAGCTGCTGCAGCGGCTCTTCGCCATTCATCAGCAGCAGCACCAAAAAGCGCCGATTTGAAACTTCTGCTGCACAGCTGTAGCCCAAAAGCCTCTCAAAGTCCCTGCTGCGGTGCCCTGCAGCAGCAGCAGCAGCAGCAGCAGTGGTTGTTTTGTGGGTGCACGAGCAGCGCAACAGCAGCAGCAGCAGCAGGCGCAGCAGCAACAGCATGTGCAGCAGCAGCCGCTGCTGCTCTGCAAAGAAACAGACATTAACCACGGCAGTAACAGCAGCAGCAGCGACAACAACACAAGGGCAGCAGCAGCAGCAGCAACAGCATCCCGCATGGCTGCTGCTGCGAGTGAATTTCGAGCAAATTGCGAACCAAAGGCAGCAAATGGACCAAAATAATCAGCTGAGAGGGGGAAAAAATAATTAAATTGAATTAAATTGCAAATAAAATAAAGAATTAAATTAAATCGAACAACAAAACAAACCTTTAATGACCCGCAGCTCGCTGCTCGAAAAGCTGCAGATACACCGCGCGAGCTCTGCAGCTTCTTTGCTGCCTTTGGGCTTATAGCCAAACAGGTAAATGCTGACGCACTCCCCTGCTGCAAAAGAGCCCCTGACATCCTTAATTCCTGATTAAAAGCAAAAAAACAAATAAATAAATTAATTAATTGATTATGAATTGCTAATTGGGAACTAATTGGCCCTTGAAAGCAGCGAAAAAGCAGCAAAAACGCAGCAGCGGCTGTCTCGGCAGCAGCAGCAGCAGCAGCAGCAGCAACACACAGTTAGCAGCAGCGCAGCAGCAGCGCGCGCAGCAGCAGCAGCTGCTGCGGTACAAACAGGTAAAGCACGTGCAGAAGCAGCAGCAGCAGCAGCAGCAGCAGGTGCACCGGCAGCAGCGGATGGTGCCTCATCAGCAGCAGTTGCAGCAGCAGCGGCAGACGGTGCCAATGCAACAGCAGCTGCAGCAGCAGCTGCAGCACCCCCAGCGGCCGCAGCAGCAACAGCAAACCCAACCACAGAAGCAACAGCAAACGCAGCAGCAGGTGGGGCATCAGGCGCAGCATCACCAAGCGCAGCAGCAGCAGCCGCAGCAGCAGCAGCAGGACCTGCAGCAAAAAGGCTTTTTCTGTTTTTGATGATGCTTTTGGCGCAGCCAAGATCCACATAAATTTCCCCTCCAATTGGCAGCGAAAGAATCCAGCGCTTCAGCAGCGCCACAGAGGGGCCCCTGGGGGCCCCCGTAGCAGCAAAAATGGTGCCTGAGCAGCAGCAGCAGCAGCAGCAGCAGCAGCAGCAGCAGCATTAGGCGCAGCAGCATCAGCTGCAGCAGCAGCAGCAGCTCTGGCGCAGCGCCACGGGCAGCAGATCTGCTGCTGTTGCAGCGCAAAAAGCAGTTGTTGCTCTTGCTGCTGCAGCTACTGCGGCACAGGCGGGGAGAGCGCAGCAGCAGCAGCAAGAACAGAAGCAGCAGCAGCAGCAGTAACTTGCCTGTAAATGGCGGCGGGGAAGTCTTCATTTCTTCCTCTGAGGGGACAGAAAAGCGAATGGGCGGGGGGCGCTTCCAGAACTCTTGCTGCTGCTGCTGCTGCTGCTGCTGCTGTTGGGGACCGTTTTGTTTGTGCGTGTATTCGCTGGTCGCGGACTTAGGAGGTGCAGCAGCAGCTATTGCTGTATCTGTTGCTGTTGCTGCTGTTGCTGCTGCTGCAGGGTCAGCTGCGGGCACTTCTCCACTTCGAGAGGCCAACTGCCCCGTCGAATTGTCAGCAGCAGCAGCAGCAGCAGCTCCTGCTGCTGCTGTTGGAGAAGTAGCTTCCCCTTTAAAGTCCCTGCTGCTGATGCCTCTGCTGCTGCTGCTGAGCAGCGGCCAATTCATGTCTGCTGCGCTGTAGCACTCGCTGCTGGTGAAGTCTGTCTCTGTCTCTTCCTCGGTGGTGTCTGCTGCTGCTTCTGCAGCTTCTGCTGCTGCAGCTTCTGCTGCTGCTGCTGCTGTTGCTGCTGCTGCTGGCCGCGCAGCAAGGTAATAAAGAATGCTTAGTACCCTCTCCGGTTTGCTGCCATTAATGACTGCAACATTTATCCCCAAGTTCGTCGCCAACTTTGCTGCTCGCACTTTGCTCAGCATACCCCCAGTGCCCCAGTTGTTGCTGCTGCTGCTGCTGCTGCCGCTGCTGCTGCTGCTGCTGCTGCTGTTGCTGTTGTTTCCATTGTCGTTGCTGCCATTATTGTTGTTGTTGCTGCTGTTGCTGCTGCTGCTGTTGCTGCTGCTGCTGCTGCTTGATAGGTAAGAATAAACATCTGTGAACGCGTTTACAAAATAGACTGGAGAAGCATCTGCAGCAGCAACAGCAGCAGCAAACAAACAATCAAGCGACTAAAATATATAATTAATTAATTGATTCCATTTCACTAGTTGATTAGGTCTGCAACAAATAAACTAATTAATTAATTTAAAGAATTAATTATTTAATTAATTAAAATAAATTAAAATTCAGACTTGTTTGAATTGAGCCATTGCTGCGCTGCAGCAGCAGGCAGCTGCGAAATGAAGCAAACCGGTATTT